GGCGCCGCCGTGCCAGCGCACCGTAACCTTCCGCGAGAGGATGTAGGCCCTGCCGCCAGCCAAGGGGCGGGCGAGGAGCTCGCTGTCGGCGGCTGCCCGCTGCGGGAGGCCGCTCCGGAGTTACTGCCGGCGTTGCAGCCGCTGCCTCTCCCCCGCTGGCGCTGTGGGACCCGGCGGGGCGCGGGGTGCTGCCGCCGGGGCAGCTGAGCGGCGGCCGCCTTCCCCCGGGCGGCTAACGGCCACCGCCCCGGCCGAGCCCAGCATAGAGCCCTTCCCCAGAGGTCTCCCGCCCAGGCCCGCTACGGCCCCGCTGGCTGCGGAAAAGGGGTGGGGGGAAATTAAGTTTCCCTCGGGAGGCTACAGGAGGCTCCGTGCCGCCAGGGCCCCTGCGGTTGGTTATAATGTTAATCGTCATCAGCAGTCCCTGCGTGGAGACCGGGAGCCTGGAGAGTCACCAGAGCCGAGCCAGAGTCTCAGTTCAGGCAGATTTTAAAGTGACTCCAGAGGAGCTGCAGAGCTGTCTGTGCCAAGGCAGAGAATGGCATTTGCTACAGACACGGCTGAGAGCCCTGCAATGGCTTTCAGTTAATTGTGAATGCCGGCCACGGCGCTTCTGAGAGTGACAAGCAGTACCTGGACTGCTGACTGCTGAGTGCACAGCACCCAGGAGAAATACACGCCCCGTAATGAGGGGTGGGTGATTAGAGAAGCCTAGTGTCTTACTAAATTACTTAGATACCCTGTAGCAAGCTGAAGTCCTCAGCATAGTGACAATTATTGCTCCATATCCTTCCTTCAGGATGCCTGGTTAAAAACCCACCCACTTCGCCATAGCCACAGACAAATAATATATACACCTTACATGGAAGTGCAGGTTCAGGTGTAGCTGTGTCTTCGTGCCAATGCAACGCTGCAGGTGCTGGCCTGGGACAGCAGCGTGAGATCGCTTACCTTATCAAACATCCAGCTAGAACAACCTGCACGAGCACCTGCCAAGGGTATCTAAAGAGGTTTGCTCTCTAAAGGATGCTCCCTGGCCCACTGGAGGCTGCGGAATTAATGTGAGGATCTCAGGACAGTCAAAATTCTAATGATAACATTTTTTTTCAAGAATTAAGCTAGATGGTTACTTGGTGCCCGTAGATATTTTTTTTGGAAGAAGAAGCTTGTGGGCCAGCAGTATGTCCCTGAGGAGGGAACAAGATGAGACAAACTAAAGAAAGAAGTGGGAGGATGAGTAGGAAGATATCCATGTTTAAGAGATCTTAACCCCATAATAATAATAATAACAAAAAAGTCTATTTTGAGTCTTTTGCTTTTTGCTTATTTGATGCTGAATATCTTGTTTCAGTTATATTTTAGTTAAGGAGATTGGTGCTCTGTAAAGCACCTAAAATAGAATATGGAGATAGAGACAGCAGAAGTAGAATGGATGCCAAAGTGAAATGATCTGGAGTGCTGAGCACTGCATCAGCCCACACACAGGCCCACCCCAAGGATAGTGATGCAGAGAAGTCTTAGATGGTGCTCCCTGCTTGGAAAAATGATGTCAGTATTGGCAGACCCGAAACGAAAGTGAAGGCTAACCAAAATAAACTCATTAAATGTACTTCCCTTCCATATAGCATAAAAATCCCATTCTCCGTGCAGTGCACCTTTGTGTTAGGCTTGTGCTCTTTAACAGCGCTGCTGACAGCTTCACAGCCAGCACATAACAGTGCACTTACTAAATATAAGTACTTCATTAGCATCTAGCATACTTCTGCTACCACAAAAATAATAACAAATAGCCATACTGTGGGGAAGGTCGATGCTGCTTGCCAGGAAAGGTGTGCACAAAGTGCTGGATGCCTGGGACAGACCAGATTTTAGGTGTATTCTTATTTCACAAAAACTGACAGCCTCAGAATAAGGCAGGCAGAACAGAGAGAGATTTAATTAGGTAGCTGATGTGAACTGTACCCTCATGAAAATGTTGGGAAGACAGGCCCCATGGGACAGATCTATTTTCCAGGTTTACAAAGATGGGTTTTCTTCCTACCATTTCCGGAATTTCAATGATGTGTGGTTTAGGATGGAGGCACAATGTCTGAGGGTCAGACATTTTAAGAGGCTGGACTTCACATGTGCTACTGCCCCCAAAGGTAAAAACCTGAAGTTCTAGATAAAGAACTGGATCAAAGAGAAACCTTAAGAGGGATATCAGAACCTATATTCTGGAAGCATCTGATGTTCCTGTTGTTTTAAAAATTCTTTTCGCTAAAAGACTTCAAAAAAGATGAGCCCTCAGGAGGCGATTTCCTAGGTACTGCCATGCCAGGTTCCTAGGGGAGAGGCAGTCTGTTGGCTCTCTGGCAATAGACTGCAGAGATTGGAATTTATTTTTACAGTTTCTGGGAACTGATACTAGAAACACATCTTCAAGGTTGTTGAAAAACTTGGGGTTTTGTCACCCCCCCAGAATGGTGATCAGGCAGTTGGAGAAATTATTTCATTATCAGGTGGGTTTATTACTGATGCAGGCACAAAGAACATAAAATAGCTGTCTGAAGAAGTGTAATGATTCTCTAGCTTTCTTCATGTACTTCAGCCAGCTGAAGAAGAGTATCGCCTGGCAATGATTCTGGCTTCCAGCATCAGTAATTTGGGATGTATGTATAATACTTCTCACCTCAGGCCAGCTCCGTAGTATGGTGGATTAGAATACTGGATGTCTCTTGGACCACAGTATTTGACATCCAATTAACTCAGGTAGTTTTGATCTTGTAGCTTCTTATCCCAAGGAATCTGACAAACTGATAAAAACTCCATGTCTTGGGTGTAGGAGAGAAAGGAAGGCAAGAATAAATTCCTAACCGATGCAAATTAACATGGATTTATTGACTTCAGGGCATGTTTACAGTTGCTGAAAATCTGTACCAGAAACTACGATTCTGATTTAAAATTATGATCACCCTTGAACTGCGTATGTGGAGTTGTTGAATTTTTTACCTCTAGCTGTAGCATGAAGACTTATGACAGCTGTACCTGACCCAAAGAAAATTTTTTTAACATAGACCAACCACACAATTACAATTTAGGGTTAACTAAGGGAGACTTGGCCATTAGAGGATGTATCTGGATTTTACATACCTGTCTACCTATGTCATATATATTCTCATATATATATTTGTTAAATTGAGCTAGGACTTTTATTGCAAAATTAATGTCCCAATTTGCCCCACAGGAATATTCAGATGAAAATGAATTACTCGTGGACAAAGGAGAGGTTTAAAAAACAGTGCAAATGGCTCATTTAATTATTTCCATTATGTAAAAAAGCAATCCTGAGTATCTTTGAAGATTTTTTTTTCTGGGTTAATTAGGACAAACTGATATGAGAAATAACCAGTGCTGTAAATGAACCAACTGATTTCCAACCTTTCTTCAGGACTGAAATTCTGAAGCATATTTGTTTACCTTTGTTTATTATGCCATTATAAGCTATATATTGGTTCAAAATCTGTACCTAACAGCAACAGCTGTTCAGCTTTCATCTGTTAGTTCTAAGACAGAAATTTGAACTTATAAATTAAGCTAGGTTTTGGCCCACTCAGCTTTCCAGCGTATTCTTAAGAAATGAAATGCAAACTCAAGCTATCCCTAATAAGGTGAATCTGACTAAGAACTGTTTTATTTGTTGCACTGTATCATTTAAAATTTTGAGAATTCATCTACTGAAATTAGAAACAGAACTTTTCCTATCATTAGAATGACTATTCCCTTTCGTAATTTATAGTAAAAAAAAAAATAATTCTTTGACAGATGTTTTAACTGGAATCGCCGTCAGTGAATATAGTTCATATACATGTATTCTACAGTGAAGAAGCATGACCTAGGTACGCTTGACAATGTTATGTAAAAACATTAAATACTTAGCAAACACATAAACGTTCTGTCCTCTTCTGGATTTGATTCTTGAAAAATAGTGGATACAATTTGGCTTTTATCTGTAAAAACACTGACAATAACGAAACATAAACAATAGAAAAATGGAACAAGTGACTTCTGTTTGTATCATGAATCATCCAGTGTTTACCTTCCTATGAAACTGGCAATTACAAAAACTGAGAAAGAAAATCCTGTTTTCACATACTCCAATGTTTCTAGAGAACTATGAAGGAACTATAGGATTATGAAGAAATGTTGTTTTTTTAAGACTGTGTGAAAAAGTTTTGTTCTTTTTTTCATTTATTTTACATTTCAAGTGTAAAAAAGGGAAAAGCACTTCTTAGAAGAATGATTTTATGTTTAATCTGCAAAATGTATGACTGAGTTTATGTATGGGGGCAGGTCTGTAACCCCAATCTGTGCACATCTTTGTAAGACTGGATCTTTTAAGGTTCCCAACTCAAACTGCCCTAAGTTTAACACACAAAGCTTTTCAAATTATCAGGCTTCAAGGATGCCAATTTACATAGCTAAATACATAGAAAAGGATTCACTAATTTAACTGCAATGTGTAAATAATTTAGTTCTAACCAATGGCAGAATCAGTTTTATATTACAAGAAAACAGACACTCAATGTAGGTAGCAACTACTGTTACTCAATTACATAGATGGCCTTCTAACACTTAATGGTCAGTGAAAATAAGTGATTTTGGTACACACCAGTGGGAATGAAGCAAATATAAAGAAACCACGAGTGTATAAAAGATTGGAGATTTTTGTTTTATTTTTTCCTCTCAAAAATGAAACAGTAATTTACAGGAACATGTATGTTCACATTTATAAGAGCTACCAGGTCTGGAAATTTAAATGTTAAGATTAAAGCAATTTTTATTTTTACATCTTGTATAAATGGGGTCAAATTCAATTCTGTTCTAGCTTTTTATTTCAATGGAGTTCCACCCACTTATTTGCAGTCTTAGTAAAGCTCATAGAGTATTTTTATAAGGATACTGGCTTAGATTTTCACAGCTGCCAATGGCATTTAGCAACATTAATTTTGTAGAAAATGGTCTCCCCAAAAAATCATTGCCTATGAGCAGAATATATAGAGAGGGTAAAAAACTAATTTCTGAGATACCAACAGAATTTCAGTTGACTTCAAAAGCAGTACAACAAATTCAAACCCAGTATGGGTAGCTCACACATATAACTGGCAATATTATAGCTATGAAAACTAATTATGAATTTGTTCCAGTTGCACAGATGTTGAATGCATGTATATACTTAATTTTGGCTTCTTATACTTCTAACTTATTACACACTGGTTATCTATGCTTATCACCATAATATCAGTCTCCTAGCTGCGCATTAAATAGTATGACAAACTTGTGTCCATCTGTTCTCACATCCATTCGCCTAGGGCAGATATCTGTAAAATAGTTTCATTTTGATTTCTTTTTTAAACGTATGTATATACAATATGAGAAAACAATTGTTATGTGTGAGGCCCTGTTCTTCTTCAGTGCTTATGTTAACAAAGCCAAGGTTGAAAAACACACTTTGCATGTAAGTAGTAAGGTTTATTATTTTTCCAAGTTCTTATTTTTCCTTCTTCTATCTTAGGCTGCTCCCAAAGAATGGACGTGTTAAATCTCTATAGAAACAGAGACCAGCGCTGTAACCTTACTATCATATTATGGCAAAATTTAGAAATGTAATACTAGGTAGAATGGTTGCAAGTCTTTCACTGCAACTAATAAATTTATAAAATAATCTTTTGTTAATATTAAATCTTAAACACAAGTCAACAAATGCATGCTTAGTGAAAGAGAGTAAAATGATTTAGAACAGTAAATTTATCCAGTCAGAAATTCATCTTCATAGCTATTGCATAGCCCTCTGTTCATAAAAAAAAAAAAAAAAAAAAAAAAAAAAAAAAAAAAAAAAAAAAGCTCTGTAGCAATGGGATAGCCAAGTTCTGTGGTTTTAGGCACAAATACTGAGTAATTCCATGGCCCGGTCCAGCTCCCACTGAGATCCAGGAGATTTTGAATGAGACTGTAGAAGATCCTGGCAAATCATTTAACATTGTATGTCATTGGAATGACAGAGGCATTTCTTGCCTGCCCACAACTGAATGTAAATTTTAGGAGAACAAAGAATACTGATCACAATCTAGCTGTACAACTGAGTGAAAGCAAATTTTCAAGGAGCAGGCAGATGCCAGTTTAGGTGAGGGGTTTTTTTCTACATTAAATAAGCAGCAAAACATTAGTATTCTTTTTTGTTTACATTTATCACTGCCATATGTCAAATTAGGACAAAAAAATCCCCTTAGTCAGAATGTTATTTTGGACCATTAGCTGTGAAATATTTTCAAATACGGAATGATGCAATTTAACAGAAACTACTGCAGAACCTAATTGTGGTACCTTAATTGATCATCCCGCAATTTTTCTTAAATAAAACAAGATAACTATATTCCAAACTATTTTGAAGGTAACTTTATTTTAAAATTCCATTTTTAGTATAAACTATTAGCGTGAACCAAGAGTTAGCAAAAGTAGACACAAAAAGTTAAAAAAAAAAAAAGGAATAAATGCACAGCAATCCTTCTATTCAAAGGCCCTGTTAATCTTTGGCAACATTCATTGCACGTGACTGAGTGGCTTTTTACTTTGCATTTCCAAGTTTCTTCACCTATGTCCAAATGCTGTAATGCTGATTGTTTGTAAGAGAATCTACATAAATTTTAATTGCTTGTCTCATAGTCTCTCCTCAACAAATAAATCTAATCCCTTCACTTTTAGTAAGTGAAGGCTTGGATCAATGGAAGAACATACTACATGCATTTAAAATGAACTTTAAAGAGACTGAAATAAGGCACCCACATTCTAAACCATCACATTTAAATTTTGGTAAGATTATTCTCCTGATAATATCTTCAGCCTTCCACATTAGTGGAATAATAATGGATAATAATTAGTGGAATAATAGTGGATAATACCTTCAGTCTTCCAACATTTTGGCCAATGACTATGAGTCTGCATTAGCTATTTATCTCTGTGAGATAACTGTAAAATTTATTAGCCTAATATTTATACAGAATTCAGTGTTTCAATAATGAGACCTTCACCTGTATTAGACCAGCACAATGAGCTGAATGATTTGTACAGGAACATTGTTCTTCACACATCACTATGAATCTCAGGGAGTTCCAAGATTCACTTATAAAAGCAAAAGCTCTTGTAGCCCACATGAATCAAATACTGTGCCATGTTTTCCATAAAGAAATTAAGCTGGGAAAATATGAGCTTAAAATTGTTTGGTTTGAAAACAAAACCTCAATTTGTGTGTTCTTCCATAGCAAAAAAAAAAAAATAAAAAAATCCAACATCACTGCTTAGTAGTTTTTAAAAAAATATACTAAAAATAGGAGTCTGGGCATTCTATATCCAAAGTGGAAGCTGTCTATAAGCCCATAATTTGCAGACTAGCCAGCTGCAAATCGGTTTTCTGACATCATTTCACAAACTAGTTCCTATATAAATGTTAGGATAGTTTGGGGACCAAACTATGACACATTAAATATTCTACTTTGTTTGCTATGAGAAATCCTTCTAGACTGTAAACAGGTATCTGTTGTGTTTGCCAATCTACCACTGTGTTCCAGAAAGGCAAGCAGATAAATTGTATCTTCAGTGGTAAAGCTACTGAGATTGTTAAACAGAACCCAACTGTTTTCACCTTTATTTCAAACGCCGAAAGTATGCACGATTTTTCAAAGCCAGAAAAACTGCAAAATGTGTTTTAAAAGATTTAGTGCAATCAGATCATCACAACTGTGACCACACTGGAAATACTGCTGGCCTCCCAATCCAGAGAGAGGCCCAAACTAAAACCTTAACTAAAAGTATCTTGAACTACAAAGAAGCTCAAAATCTTAAGGGTTACCTGTCATGAATGAAACCAAAGTCCTTGATGCCAGCGTGGGTCCATGTTTGTTTGTGCTTCCACACCTACTGAGGAGGTACAGTGTGAATGCTACGATGTTTACTGGGGTTATTACCAGCTGGTGGACAAAATCCTCAAACCCAGAGGAGACATGAAGAAAACATTTGACATCAGAACGTGCTTTTGCTGCCTCTCACTTGTAGCCCACAGCAGTTCTGCTGAGACGGGGCTCAAGTGACACGTCAGTTGTAAAAGCATCTGATACTAGGTTGAATTTAACCATCATCTAGATTTTGGTAGCTGACAAAAGCCCTACCATTAAAAAAGGCAGCTGTGCTCGCTTCAACATACCAGCTTTGCAGTCTCTGTCGTACTCCCTTGTCGTTCCCCGAAGAATGTGCTTTATTAAACGCACCCCCCTCCCCGTGCCATCATCCTCTCCCGGGTGCCGCCCGGGCTCCCCGGGGGAGCGCCGGCCACCGCACCGCCGGCGGGGATGCCGTCTATTAAAAAAAAAAAAAAAAGGCGAAGTACTCTATGAATATAAAACCCT